TTATATAGTGGCTCCACCTACTAAGTGCTAGAGATTAGGACCAGTATATGGAACTTCAAGTTGAGCATAGAAGAGTTTAGAGTTTCTAAAGGTTAGGGTTCCTTCTCTTGTTTTTTAGGAATATTCAACAGGAAAATCCTTTGGCTAGACCCTAAGCTACTAAAGAGGGAAGACTAAACCTCAACCAAATTTGAGGTCAACACAGCCTTGTGCATCTTGATCTAGTGGTAGCTGAAGAATGATTCCAGAAAACTCATAACCGAGTATTTGATAGTAGAGCCCACCGGTCCGTCTATCTTATGTAATAAATAGTTATCATTTGGGCAAGCAACGTTCAGATTTGTGAATTTCACGCACATCTTTCACTTTCCATTAAACTTCTATACCATGACTGCATTGGATACTCAGGAGGGGTTATGCACCTCCTCAATGTAGCATGCTTCCAAGAGCTTATGTACTTCCTCAAAATCATTCCTGTCAAATTCATAGCTTGAAGATTGAATCTTCTTCTTCACAGGCTAGGCATATGAACTAAAATTGAGGCGGCGACAAGATGCATCGATGAAAATGTCTGGCATTTCTACGACTGACTAAGTGAAAACATCCTTGTGCTCCTCAAGAGTTTGGATCAATATTTCTTTGTGACCTGCATCAAAAGTTTTATTGATTAGAAAAACTTTACCAATATATATGTAATCTGTAAAGATATCAATGGTGACCTCATTTATTTTAAGGCCTCCTTCACATTGATGTTGTATATCTAGCGCTTTGTCCTCTATGCTTCACACCGCCTAAAGATAACACATATGAGACTACTCTATATTTCCACGTATGGTAACAATCTGCTCATCACAAGAAATTTTTACCACAATTTGATACGTTGACACCATAACTCATAAATCATTGAGGAGCGAACAACCAAAGATTACATTGTAGATTGATGGAGCGTTGACCACCAAGAAGTCCCTCATATTGGTGAGCTGATAGTTTACCTCTCCCCATGTCAAAGATAATGAAATTATTTGAGTGCCTCCTTTCTTTCACCATAGAACCCATATAGTAGGCCAGTGGGCGTAGTCAAATGGTCGATTATCAAGTTCATTTTGTCAAAAACATCCTTGAACAAAATATTTCCCGAGCTACATGTGTCAACCAAAATACTACCTGCTTACTAGTTATTAACTAACGTTGTAATGATGATAGTGTCTTTTTAGGGAATTTCAGCTGGAGGAAGGTCTGCATCAGTTATAATGATCGGGAAATGGGGCCTTTTTTTGAAATGGAAGTCACTGCACAATATTCCCCCGAACGACTCCTTTTTCAGTTGGGCAATTGGGTCAAATATCCTTCCTGTATTGCTAGCACCATCCCGGCTATATGGATAGCATCAACTCGTGCATGTAGGTCTGTTTGAATCATCCTCTGCAAGTGCTTTCCCATGCCTTTGAGTACATAGGCTATTAACTCTTCAACAAGGCTATGGAGGTGCCTGAACTCCTCCATGTCATGTCTATGGTCTATGTGGTACTTGTGGTATTTGTTAGGATTCCATAAGGAAGCTTCGATTTTCATAGAAATGTGGCCTTTTGGAAGTATTCCTTGTCTTGAATGGCTTCCAGTAGTTCTGACATCGAGATCCTCAGCCTCTACATTCGTCGATCGTCTGTAATGTGATCATTCTTATCGGCTACATCTTTGTTTATTTCTGTAGGCTTCATTATCTCTGTAGGAAGGCCGACCTCTTTCATGCTTCGGTTGAGGTCCCTCCTTCCCTCTCCACTCATTGTCTAGCGAGCCCTCAATTGTTGGTCAGACATTCGACCTTTTGAGAAAGATGGGTTCATGTATTCTTCAGCTGCAATGTGATCGTTAGCCATTTCAAAAAGTTTGACCAATGTCTCGAGTTTTGTAAACTTAGGAAATACTCGAATGGCTAACTTTTTAGCCCCTGCACTAAGGTAGCTTTAGTAAAAGTTGGATGCAGTTTATGCACCTCTATAAGGTGTAAATGAATATAGTCGAGCTCGAGCCACTCTCAACTTGAGCTTAAGCTTGATTTATTTTATCTAGTGTGAGCTTAAGCTCAAAATTAAGCCTACGATTTTGAGACAGCTCACGAGTTGGCTTGTTATTATAAATGAGAGAAAAAGATGATAATTCAAGCTAGATTTAAAACAAGATGTCAATTAGAATGAACAATTCAGAGATAAATATTAAGAAATCACCTATGTACAATACTAAGTATTATTTCTTAAACATTTTAAATATTTTAATGATAAAATCTTGAAATTTTATACATTTAGACTATATTTTATTTCAATATTTTTTTTAAACAAATTAGCTCACAAGATAACGAGTGGAGTCGGGGCTAGATTATGCTTAGCTTGTTAGCTCGTCGAGCTCAGTTCACGAGCCACAGCTTGAGAGGGCTCACGAGTTGGCTTGACTTGCATACAACCCTACACCTCTAGGATTTCCTTCGGGAACTATGTACAGTAGGATCACAAACTCTCGGTCGATACTTACTTTACATACCACATGGATTTTGAATCCTTAGGGGGTTTCTGGGTGCTAGTAGACTGCAATAAAAATAGTTTCTTGAATCTCTGAAGGAATTGATAGTTCCATCAGAGATTCCATTGAACCAAATAAAAGAGGAATCTCTCAAAGTAGTGGAGAACAACAGCCATTTCAACACGACATAAATTTTGAGAAAGCAAATTGACGACTCAAAGGAAAAAATATGGTTGGTTGGGTTGCTCTGACCTTTTGTACGGTTTGAAAGAGGGAACCTTGAATTTCTCTAGACGCTCAACTTCAATGATATGCCCAGAGAGCACATTCTCTAATCGCTGGTAGACTTTTATCTGCCATGGTTGTAATTTAGCTTTTGGTATGGACCCAACACTTTCTTGGTATCGAGACTATTCCACTTGTTCAACAATCTGAGCTGGCTACTGACCTTAGGGATCGGATGTTGGTGGATTAGGTTGTGGTAAAGGTTGTGTTTTCCCTTCAAGCACCACGTGGGATAATTTTGTAATTTGACCCGCTATCCCATCATAGAGTTCTTGAATTTGTTGTTGCACGAATTCTCGGATGACTCCACGTTAGGGGCTTCTCCTTGTTTTGGTCCTTCGTCTTTATGCACTCTTCTTCCTGTTGAAAGCAGGATTCTATGAGCACCGCACCTTTAAAGATTTTGAATCCTAAAATGCCATGTGGATCACGCCCAAGGAATAAAGCGTGAGGAATGAGAGTAAGAGAAGAATACATCAGAAGTAATACTTAGTTTCTAGGAAATTGTTCAATAGTTCTTTTTCGTGAAAATAATCCTCATATTTTTAAGTCATAGGAAAAGTATGATAAATTATATGATTGTCCCCTAATTAATAAGAACGTTACGGTCATTTATGAATCATTACACATTTATATATTTGTAACTAATGTAGACACACTTTGACCTTGTAATCACTGTTGGCGACGTTCCATATTTGTAACCGTATTTGATATTGTTTTACATTTGTAACAGTTTGGTCTGATCACCTAGTATTTGTTCGGTCGACCAAGAGTATCGGCCGACCGAAGAATTCACAATATCCCTTTCCAAAGAAATTCGTTGCGAAGGCTCATCGTCCTTGAGAAGGTATGTTCCTTCATGCTAAGGGTATTTTACCGTAATCTGGTAGGCGGCCTTCCTTCATTCAATTAGCTTGTGTAAAAGGAATCTCCTTTGGGCAGATATTGATATTTCTAATACTAGACCTTGGTTGAGTAGTTATTGATGTGTTCACGCAATATGTCTTGGTTCGATCAGATTTTCGTTCAATCAGTCTGCTTGTGTAAAAGGAATCTCCTTTGGGCAGATATTGATATTTCTAATACTAGACGTTGGTTGAGTAGTTATTGATGTGTTCACGCAATATTTCTTGGTTCGATCAGATTTTCGTTCAATCAGTCTGAGATTCGACTGACTGGTGTAAAAATGAATATTAGTGCTTCTACTGCTTTACTAGAGAGATACATAGATTTCATCGAGATTTATGCAGTCATATTATTGATGTACATATATAATTTCTTTATTTCGTATTAAATTGAGTTGAAGACAATTGAACAAAAGCTTTTTTCGTGTTCTGCTCATTTACTTGACAAATAATTCGAACTTGAGTTACTTAACCAGACGAAGTGAGCTTTTTAACAACTCTACATGAATGATATTGTTAATTATGTATTAACTATTTAGTAATTTTTTGATATTAAATACAATAATATGATTTGTGTGGGAGTGTATGTGTGTGTATAAAAAAAATATTACATCAGAAGTTCTGATATAAAACTGTATCAGGACTCCAATCACAATATGTCACGTGACCATTGAATAAAAAAAAACTAAATAATTTAATATATGATGGGACCGGACCGTATAAGTAATGTATTGTGATTGAAGTGCTGATATTATTTTATATGATGTTTTTTTTGTGTGTGTATGCTCGTGGAAAAGTATTTTAAAAAATCCAATTAGGCCCCACCTCTTCAATTCACCGTAATTCATGATGGGGTTTTCTGCGATAGAAAGTTGATGGATATACTAAAATGCAAAACAAAAATGTCAGGAGCTTCAACTGAAAAGACGAAACCGGCTCGGGAGGCGGAGAAACGGAATGCCCCGCAACCGGTACTTCCAGATCGAAATAAGGACAGCACACTCTCGTCACCAACGTCGAAACCCTAAACTCCGACGGGCCGATCGTCGCCGTAATCTCCTCAGTTCAACCATCTAAGAACTGGCAGAAAAGTCCCGGCGAATTACCGTTAACTCCCCTCGTCTTCCTCTCTCACATCCTCTGCTTCCAGCAATGGTTGGTTCGTCGGCCCGCGCTCACGGTGTCGACCGTTTTTACAATCCCCCTCCCATACGTCGTCAGCTCGAGCAACAGCAGAGGCAGCAACGCGAACTCCAGAACCACCGGCCGCGCCCGGGCCAACCACAGGGGGGCGCCGGCAGCTGGGCCGAAGCATCGTCCTTCGCAACCGCCGCAGGAAACGGTGATGAATAATTGTTCAGATTCAGATGTCTCGTCCTCCAAGGCTTCGGTGTCTTCTTCCAACTCTACAGCTGCCTCCACAGAACCACCAACTGGAAATTTGGATCGTTTTCTCCAGTCGACAACTCCGATCGTCCCTGCTTCGTACTTTCGCAAGGTTTGGAAGTGGTATTTGGAATTGCAATTAAATTTGTCATCCTATCTTTTTTATGATTTGTCGAGTTGAGGTTTTGATCTACGATCAGATGACCATGAGGGGGTGGAGGAGTCGCAACGTTATGGAGCCTCAGCATCCGTATTTCACCCTTGGGGATCTGTGGGATTCGTTTAAGGAGTGGAGCGCTTATGGCGCTGGAGTGCCGTTGGTGTTGAACGAGAGCGACTCGGTTGTGCAGTACTATGTGCCGTACCTCTCGGCTATTCAACTGTTCGTTAATCCATCGAAGCCGTCATTGATATTGAGGTATGGCTTAGCTTCCAACGAAGCTATCTCGTTGTTTCTATTTTCTTGGGCATTTATCACTTTGTTCGCTCCTCAATCCTCTTCAACATTTATGCATTTCGTACTGTTAGTGATGGGTAGTTCTTTTAATCCAACATGATTATATCGGCCTATTGCTTCTGGCATTTCACTTAGCATAATATTTTTCCTGAATGACCATTTCTGCTTATTTTGTTTCCTTGTGTTCCGCCAACAGTTTGATATTTCATCATCTCTATTTCTTGTTCTGTTTCTTGGGTTCCTTAACAAAAGATAGTGTTGGATTGGGAATCTTGTGAACGATTAACTGTGTTGAGATTGCCAGCATGTGCTAATCCTGTTTTGCTGATTCTTATTCCATGGAGGAATTAATGCAGAAAAAAATAGGTTCAAAAAAGAGGGAGGATAGCGGCCCTCAATACATTTCAAATTCGCCATTCATTTTATAACATGACAGGGAGACAATATAGCATGCATGATGTACTGGGATGTGTGTTCAAATCAACCTTTCTCTGCAACTTTCAGTGATTTGTGTGCTTAACTTGCTGGTGCATGCACAAACTGTTTCATACACTCCTCTTTCATGAAAGGTAGAAGATTCAAGCACGGGGCCGTAGTTTCTTTTCTTAAAAAAAGAATAAAAACTAGTAGGGAAAACTGCTAGTGTGCTAATGACACCCTAAGAGGCATGGCATCAAACTGATTAAACTCTTCTTTGCTTGATATTGTTGGTAGCAAGGTAGAATTTGCTCAAATTGTCAATTTTTTATATTCTTTTTCATTGATTTGGATATAAATTTTGAAAAATTACATTGATTTTGAAGATGTAATTTGGTTTCATGATACAAAGATTCATAGGGGATGCATTTTTTTTTGTTTAGACACTAACGGAGGAGTCTAATGAGTAAAAATGGTTTTCATTGTTTGGAGAAAGCATATGATTGTTTACTTAAAAAATTGATGTTGTGTTTATTGAAGAATAAAAGTCCATGTTCAAATTCTGTCGAAATAATTAAAATTATGCATGACAAAGCGCTAATGAGTATTAGTGATCATTCAGTGACTTAGTTGTTTAATTTATAATGTAATCACATCAATCATTAAGAATGAGTTCATCTCTTTTTATTCCAATTAGTACTGATGATATTCAAAATGAGGTGTCTTGAAGTTGTGCATTTTGCAAATGACAATTCTAATTGTGATATATCTGTTTGAACAATAAAGAAATTGTTTAGAAGTTGGATGACTTAGGATTAGTAGAATAAAGATAAACATAAGATATGCAATTTTTGTGCTTGTGATCTTAATAGTTATCACTTAATACAAATATTTATATTTGTTAAGTGCCTTAGGTGCATTGTGTGATAAGAGGCTATCTAGTAGATTTATGATCATTTAGTGACTAAAGTGTTTTAATTATAGTGCAATCGCATCAAGTATTAAGATTGAGTTCATCTTCTTTGATGTTGATTATTATTGTGGATAGTCAAAATGAGGTGTCTTTATGTTATGCATTTTACAAATGAAAATTCTAATTGTGATATGTCAGTTAAAAAAATTAAAATTTTGAACAATAGAGAAATTATTTATATGTTGGATGGCTCAGGATTGATAAAACAAAAATTAAACATAATATATACAATTTTAGTGATTGTGATGTTAATAATTATCAGTTAATACAAATAGTTATAGTAGTTAAGTACTTCAGGTGCATTATACAATAAGAGGCTATCAGCTGGAATTATAGGTAAATTTAATAAATTTTTAAATAGGCCAATAATTATGTATGGTTACAAGAGTTGGGATTAAAAAGATGATGATAAGTAAGATGAACATGATGAAAAAGAGAATGAACATGGATGCATGACAAAATCAGACGAATTAATCATCTAATGATTATATTAGACGCACAGTTGGTGTAGCATCCCTTGAAGATAAGGTAGTTGAAAATAAATTTAAGTCTCACGGGATAGAAATTTACCCATTAAATTCATAGATAAAGTTGATGTTTAAGTATTACTAAGGAAAATCACGTATATAATTTTTTTATGTGATTTGTGAGCAATATGCTATGAATGACAGGGAAATAAACATTCATAAGGCCAATCCCAAATGGTTATGGCTAATGATGATTTTTTTCTGTTATATTTTGCCGAAGATATGGTGTATAAAATAAAATTATCATACTCTCAGTAGTGGAACTAGGGGGAGGTTCTCTGCCCTCTTAAGTTTATGTATAAAATGAAATTTTTTCTTATGAATTATCAATTTTTTTCCTGTGCTGGTCATTTGGATCTCATACTGTGTATTATGATCGTGCTCACCTTATACTAACTCATACGTACATTATTTTTGGCTTAACATCATTTGTTGGTCATATGCTTGCTCATTAGTTGACTTCCTTCGTTTTCTTCTTGCTATTATCTCTTTCTTGGCTCTGGATGGCACGACTATAAAATAAGAAAGGACTATTTACATACATATTACTTAGTTCCATGTATTTACATATCTAAGACCTAAACTTTGATTATTACATGTCACATTAACTATGCATAAAAAGGTGTATTTCACTTTTTAAAAGTTAAAATGGTGGTATTTTTTTTGTGATATGTGATATGAAAGATTTGGGTGTTATAAATGTAAATTGTAAAATTTAGGTGTTAGATATGTAAATATATAAAAATTGAGCGATATGTATTTAAATGCCCCAATAAGAAATAGCTCTCGCTTATCTTGTTGTCTTACCTTGATTGTACCAAGCACCAAGGAATGATACTTCTATACCAACTTGATCTGGAAACTATCCTTTTAGTTGAGTTTTTCTTGTTGTCGATAGATTTCTCTTTCTGATTTTGAGCTTTACTTAGTTGGGCTATCGTAGGATTTGGCAGCTTCAAATGATAAAATAGAGTATTGCCTTCCTGTTTGCCCAGCACTTGAATGGGCAGTTACAGCAGAAACAAAATTAAATCCTTATTAAGCAAACTCCATATAGCAGTTACAGCAGAAACAAAATTAAATCCTTATTAAGCAAACTCCATATAAACAGGGAATCATATATTCAAAATACAAATTAGATAACCTGAATCTACAACATACTTTCAACAATTTTGTCTTAATTATAAATTTAAAATTACAACGGAAGCTTATCCAGAAAGTTTAAATTTTCAAACTAATAGTTATCCTATTGTAATCTAAATTTTAATCCAAGGATCCAACTTCCATGGCCTTAATCTCCTTCATAAGGTGTCTTATGGACGATTCCATTATACCTATTATGGAATCATGGTATCTTATCTCATCAGCTTTATTTGAGAACCTGGTCATATGGATCAGATTGACTATCTCATTCTTCGTATCCTAAAGCTTTAAGCAATTGATTTACATACATATCACACAATTCTTATGTCTTTACATATCCAACACCCAACGTTTGATATTTATATTTATAACACTTTTATGCCATAAGCATATGCAAAAGGAGATGTTTTCATTTTTAAAAAGTTATCAATAATGGTATTTTTTATATAATATTGAAGATTTGAGTGTTATGTATGTAAATATGTATGTAAATATGAAAGATGAAATTTTAGGTGTTAGATATCTGAATATAAGAGAATTGTGTGGTATTTATGTACATGCGCCTTAAGCAATTCACACTTATCATGTTTAGAAATGAGATTATGATTGTTAGACACAAATTTTCATGACTTGCTTTACTGTGAAGATCTTTGAATATATTTAACAAATAATCCTTAATCATTCCTCTTATAATCTTAAAGAAGTTAGTAGTAAAGCCAGCAGCCCCCCATGGTTTATTTGATCCCAAAGAGAATCGAAAGCTTTCAACTTTTCAGCATTATCATGGGGATAAAGCTTCAAGAAGTCAATATACTACTTGGAATGATCCTTTTTTCCAAAATATCTTTGTAATTTTTTTTGAAATAAGGGGGGCACATGATGCCTGGATTGGATAGCTTCTTCTTTAAAACTTAATGGAATATTTACATACATACTTCTCAATTCTTATGTATTATGTACATATCTAATGCCCAAATTTCAATTTTTCCATGCATACCACCTTACCTATGCGTGAGAAGTCGCATTTCACTTTTTAAAGGTTAAAATGGTGGTTTTTTTTGTGTTATGAATGATTTAGGTGGTATAAATGTAAAAAATCAAAGTTTAGGTATTAGATAAGTAAATACATTGGAATTGAGTGTTATGTATGTAAATGCTCCAAACTTAATTTGGTGAATAAATTTGAATTTTCTTCACCTAATAGTCACCTTGTGAACAGTGGAAGTGTTGTTGTGTCATTCCCAATGCCATTAGAAGGCATTTGGTGCCAATATGCTTCCTCTTTAATTTCTTGTGAAGCCATTTTTTACTCGTTCATATGCTTATAAGTCATCTAAACAATAATTATCTTTTTTAGCTTTTTGTTTTTTGCGGCATTTATATACATATCACTCAATTCTTATGTAATTATATTTTTAACACCTAAGCTTTGAAAACTTGCTTTTTACATTTATACCACCCCAATCTTTCATATCACATAAAAAGTACCGCAATTTTAACTTTTAAAAAGTGAAATACACATTTTCATGCATAGGTATAGTGGTGTATATGTAAAAATTGAAGTTTAGATGTTAGATATGTAAGTACATAGGAATTAAGTGGTATCATTTTATGTCAATAAGATGCATTCTACCCAGAAGATCCTCTTTGTTAGACGTAATCCCTTTTCTCAGTAAGTTATAGTTTCATGACCGTTACAGAAGTACATTGTATTATAAATGAGCTGAAATGGACCTTCATTGATGGCCATCCAATGAAAATCACAAATTTGGGCTAACTCCAGTTTAAAATGGACTTTTAAAAGCCTAATTTATTTTGCTTAAACAGGCTTGGACGACACATTTGATACCCGCCGTTCTGTTATAGAACCCTTTTGTGTCTTATCAACTGCAAAATTGAGTTTGGGGCATTTAGGTACGCACCACTTAATTCCTATGTATTTACATATCTAATACCTAAGCTTCAACAAATTTTCCTATGTATTTACATATCTAACACCTAAGCTTCAACAAATTTGACAAATTTTCCACCTTATCTATGCATGAACAGGTGTATTTCACTTTTTAAAATTTAAAATTGTTCTATTTTGATTGAATATGAAATAATTGGTTGTTATAAATGTAAAAAGTAGAGCTTAGGTGTTAGATATGCACATACATAATAATTGGGCCGTATCATGGTATACATGTAAATGTTCTTATTGAATTTTATTCTGTATTCTAATGTATTCATATAGCACTCAATTCTAATGTATTTACATATCTTACACCTACACATTCATATTTATACACATAACACTAAATCTTTAATATCACATAAAAATAGCACTATTACCAATTTTTAAAAGTGGAATATACACATTTTCATATATAGGTTTAAAGCACTAAAGTGATATGTGTGCAAATATGAAAGTTTAGGTGTGAGATATGTAAATACATAAGAATTGTCTGCTTGATATGTAAATTTCCCTAAACTTAACTGTCAGTGGCGCATGTGGTGTCAACTGTCTTTCTTATCCTAAGGCGAGCTGGTGACGAAAGTGATGGGGAACCTTACCTGGATACAAGTAGCGAAGGTAGCAGCGAGAGCGAAGGGACGAGGCGGCTTGTGAGGGATGGACAGTCCGTTGGAAGTGTAAACAGCAGTTCTTCAGTCCTTCCAGTATTCGAGTATTTGGAGAGAGATCCACCTCATGGTCGGGAACCTCTTGCTGATAAGGTAAATCATCTGACATAATCTATCATACTTATGAAGAGGGGTATAAGTGAGACGAGCCGGCTTGTGAGACAAGCTTATCAAGCTTTGAACTCGAGCTTGAGCTTAGTTTGACTCAACTCGAGAGTTCATTAAGTCCGCTCGATTACATTATTTAATTTATTAATTAATCTTGATTTTCATGTAGTTAATGAAGTTTTTTCTAATCCATAAATTTCTTAAAAGGAAAATTTATATACGTAGCAGGCAATGCTTAAGTGTTTACATATCTCAAACCTAATCTTTCACATTTACATACATAACATTATGGTGCTTATAGTGTTATTTTTGATGTGATATTAAAGATTTTAGTGCTATGCTATCTATATAAATTTATGAAAGTTTTGGTGTATGTTATATAAATAAATAAAAATTGTGTACTATACATGTCAATGCCCCATTTTTAAAATACTTTTATCAAAATCAAGCTTTCGAGCCGAGCTCAAGCCAAGCATAATTGCCATGAGCCGGATTCAAGATCATGTTCCGAGCTTGAACTCAAGCCAACTATACATCTCACAAGTCAAGCTCAGTTTGAGTGAGGCTCGAGTTTGACTCATCTTGTTTAGATCCCTATTTGTAACCATTCTAAAATTTTACATAACAAGTATGTTTTACAATTTCTTACTACAGATTTCATCACTTGCGACTAAATTTCCTGATTTGAAGACATACAAAAGCTGCGATCTGCTTCCTTCAAGTTGGATGTCCGTCGCCTGGTACATATTTTGTCTCCTTTTTGTCAGTGAGGCTATGCTCCTCTGATACATTGAGGGCTTGTTTTGAATCACTTTTGTTTTTATTTTTAATTTTATTTTAAATATTTATTTTTTAATTTTTGTTTTCAAAAATCAACTAGTTGTTTTTTAAAAACATTCAAAACATCCAAACATTATTTTAAGTATTTTTAAAAACAACGGAACATATAATAACATGTCAAAATATTTTATATAAGTAAAAACATAAAAAAAACAAAATCAAAATTAAAAATCAAAAGAAAAATGAATAGTGATCCCAAAGGGCCCCTGAGCATTTCTTACTATGCAAAATTTATAAACTTGTTTGTTTTTATTGCAGGTATCCGATATATAGGATTCCTACAGGGCCTACATTGCAAGATTTGGATGCGTGTTTTCTGACCTTTCACTTGCTTTCGACTTCAGTAAAAAGTACGCATCATATTTTCCATGCAATCCTTGTAAAATGTTGTTCTTTTCTTCTGTTTTCTTCTGTTTTTTAGCTATGATTTTGAGTTCTTAAAAAAAAGGCAAGATTTACATACATACCACTTTAATCCTATGTATTTACATATCTTTAATAATGCGCGCGCACACACAAACACACCTTCTTACATAAGAACTTCTGTTTTTTAGCTATGATTTTGAGTTCTTAAAAAAAAGGCAAGATTTACATACATGCCACTTTAGTCCTATGTATTTACATAACACACACACACACATATCTTTAATAATACACACACACACACACACACACACACACACCTTCTTACATATGCATGAAAAGATGTATTTCACTTTTTAAAAATTAAAATGGTCATATTTTTTATGTGATTTGAAAGATTTGAGAGTTATAAATGTAAAAACAAAGTCTGATGTTAAATATGTAAATGCATATGAATTGGGTGGGTGGTATGTATGTAAATGCCCCAAAACAAAATATAGCACGCTGATAGGAAACCTTGTATCTGAAGAGTTGATGTTGTTTTTCACTTTGCTTCATCATGTACCATTCAGCAATCTTACTTTTCTTCCATAACTTGTCATGCCATGCACAAATATGGTGTCAAATCGATTATAATAGCCTTAGAGCAACATTTAAAAAAAAATGGGACATTTGTAGACATACTTCCCTTTTTTTAGGTATTTGCATATCTTACACAAACTTTACTGTTTACATTTATGCCACCCAAATATTTTATATCACGTAAAAAATATCACTATTTTGACTTTTAAAAAGTGAAACTGCACTTTTTCTTGTATAGATAAGATGGTTACGATGAGTTCTAAATTCATTGGATTTCTTTTGAGCTGATTGTAATATATATTTAGATTGATTACTCTTATATGACGGTAAAGATTCAAGTGGTTTACATGTCAAACATGAATGTTTAAGTGTTAGATATATAAGCCGACCCCGATTTACCTGCATGTTATGCGGTCAGGTGTTGGCAATTGGTATCCAGAACCTATGGGTCCATGCATCATCAAGAAAACAAACGGCAAGAACTTTGCCGGCGACCGGCTATCCATACCAATCTTTGGCCTTGCTTCATACAAGTTCCGAAGCTCCATATGGACTCCCAATGCCCTCCACGATTGTCAGCTGGCGACCTCGCTGCTCCAAACTGCAGACAATTGGCTCTACCTTCTCCAAGTAAACCATCCAGACTTCATGTTCTTCTGCCACTCCAACAAATTCAGGAGATGATTTTATAGATTTTTTTTTTTTTACAAATTTCTGTTTAATCTAAGAGAGTGGCCGATTTTCAATGTTTTGACGGCGATTATCTTGACTTGGACGCGGCAGTTTTTTTCGTTCGAAATAGGTTTGGCCGGCGAATTTTGCCCGGTGATGTCGGTTTCATGAGGACTGAAGAAGGAAGGCTGCTCTCTCTGACAGAGAACTAAGGTTAGTGACTAATAGAATTAATGGTAGGAGACTGATTTCTGTTGATGTGGTTGTGATAGCCACAGAGATGGATAGTTTTTTGTGATGATGATGAGTGCTCCAAAGGAGCAGGTATTTAGTGTATTAAAATTCTTCAAAAAAAAATGAAGGAAAAATATTATATTGTTGATATTTTGTGTTGTTTTTTGTTATTCACTTTGGGGCTGTTTGATTTGCCGAAAGAGGAATAGATTGTGATTGAAAGTGGTATATTTGAAATAGTTTGAAGTTATTTGATTTGGTGTGAAGTAAATACATGAGTTTATGTTTTTTGTATTGGTTTAAGGAAAAATTAAATCAATCTAAAATATATTCGGTGATGGCGGCGGCGGGGAATATAGAAGGGTTGCGGACAACATGCGCGGCGGCGGGCATTGGCTTCTATTTGAAGTGAATTTGAAGTGAATTTGAAAATTTGAAAAGTGAATGTGTATTATTTACCCCACCAATCCCATATATAAATTACATATCGTTTTATGTAATTATGATATGTAACTATATATGTAACACCTAAAATTTGATATTTATGCAAGTACATATCCTACACCTAAAATTTAATATTTATATTATATTATTTTGGTGTCATAGCCTATGCATACACCTAAAATTTGATATTTATGCAAGTACATATCCAACAGCTAAAATTTAATATTTATATTATATTGCTTTGGTGTCATAGCCTATGCAGGGAAAAGTGTATTAAAATAATAATAATAATAATAATAATAGCAGTGATAAAAATTTTAAATTATAAATGTATAAATAAAGAAGTTCAGGTGATAGAGATATAATTACTTAAGGATTATGTGGTAGCTATGTCAATGTCCCTCTAAAATTGGACTGATTATTTGCATATTAAACTTATTTTAAAATAAATTCATTTATTTAAAAATCTACTTAGAATATTTTTTTTCTCGTTTTTAGCGATCATAGGCATTCATGTAGGTTCTGTAAAATCTGAGAGTCAAAATAGGTTCCTAGGACTGACATTGTTCTCCCATGTAGAAGAGCTTCAAGCTATTTCTACTCCAACTCTTTTATGGTTCTCCTCTTGTGTGCATCTGGAGTTGATAAGACCAAGGATTAGCTTTTTAATAATATAAGGTCCTTCTTAGGCTGAGCTTAGTTTGCCATGTTGCAGGATCGACCTTACTTTAACTAAAGATTCTCGTGTCGAATGGTCTTCTCCTAGACATCTGAGTTAAGATATTTGGCTATCCTTCCCTTGGGTTTCTTTCCCATTCCTACTTATAGTTTCAAAGCTCCTCTACCAAATCTGAAGTTATTTCCATACTTATTTTATTCTTTCCCTTCTACAACAGTTGACCATGGTTGATAAGTGGTGGTCAACAGCTACAGAGGTCGGTGGTTATCATTGGGTCTTCAACACAAGTGTTAGGCACAATGAGCGTATTCAAACTATGAGATTTACTAAGGGTCTTTAGTGGCTGGTGGCGACTGGTGGTGACAGCTGGCGGTGGTTGACAACAGTTAACGGTTGGTGATCAATTGTGGTTGGTGGCTAAAATGGTCTGTGATTATCATTGAGTTTTTAATATAGATGTTTAGTCACAACAACCATATTCAGACTATGATGTTCGCAAATAGTGTTGTAAACGATGGGTGGAAGGCGACAGTCTTCAGTCGTCGATTGTGGCTGACGGTGGTTGGCAGTTATGGACGGCAGTGGTTATCATCAGGTCTTCAATACAGGTGTTAGATACAACGACCGTATTAGAATTACAATTTGCAGACAAGGGTCACTGGAGGCTAAGTATTACTTGGGTTTTTTTTCCTTCTTAGGACTTATCTTAAATATATAAAAAAAATATTAATTACATTTATGTTATGTATACATCATTTTTCAAAAATCTATTTTGAAACTATCGCATCCTTAACTTAGACCATACACATAATCAATCTTTTGATGCTTTTGTGCATACAAAACTTGCATATAATGGTATACATCATTTTTCAAAAATCTATTTTGAAACTATTGCATCCTTAACTTAGACCATACACATAGTCAATCTTTTGATGCTTTTGTGCATATAAAACTTGCATATAATGACACCTCCTAGAATTCTTGGATCCTTAAAATGAGGTCGGGGGTGGTGACCCCATCAAAACATACGCCATACTTTTACCCACACCTTGCATGCATTTAGATGTCATGACTAGGGTAATATGTGTTAGATGGTGTGCTAGGCTAGGACTAGGATGCTTATGTGTCTTTTTGATGTCTTGAATATTGTTCTCTGTAGGTTTGTGCCCTAGCCAAATATCTTTTTTGTGTGTTGCCCTTTCCGTGTTTACTAGGGTGTGAGACATGCCCACAAGTATATTAGGGGCGATCTTTTTTTAGAGAGTCATATCCAGTAGGGAGGAGCATAAATAAGTTAAATAACTATTTTTTGCATATGCTTACATATTTATCCTCCCACCGGGCATGGTTCATTATGTTGCATGTAGATGGCTTTTACACTAACCTAATTTTCGTGCAGGTCGAGTATTTCTTAAGATTTTGATATGTACTTTTTGGAGTCCTCTAGACTCGATCCTACATTAGAAATAAAGTACAGGCTTGAGTTCTAAGACGCCTGATGGGTGGAACTATGTGATGAGGACCAGGAGTTGCAGGTTCATGTCTCGTTCCTTAATTATAAATCTCTTTCATGTATTGTAATTAGGACCATGTGTGTAGATGCGGTGCCTGACCACTGTTTTTTTTTTTTTTGGGATCTGTTGCTGACCCATCGGTACCTTACCTTTCTATTATTTTATACTTTGCTTATTTGTTATTGCTCAGTGTAGATGCGGTGCCTGACCACTGTTTTTTTTTTTATTTTGGGATTTGTTGCTGACCCATCGGTACCTTACCTTTCTTTTATTTTATACTTTGCTTATTTGTTATTGCTCGACGTACATGATTTCTCATCTTTCTTTGCTTGTGGATTGTCTAGGAACCTTTCAAATACAATTTAGACTCTCTAAGGACCTAAAATTATAAATTTTATTTTGTACTTGTCTAACCACTTTTAAAATTTAGGTTTAAAATATCTCAACTTTTCAAATTTACTTTTACTTTCCTGCATGGTATTTAGGCTGGATATAATATGGGTTGCATTGCATGGCTATCGCTAAAGTCATATTTAAGTGGGTTTTGATGCTTAGGTTTTAGATAACTGCATCATATTACATGTCACGAGGAGAAGCCTCGGTGCTTCTTCAACCCAAATGACCAAGCATGAGATTTCTACTTAGGTGGTTGTCTAGCACGCTTAGGGTATTATAGGCTTTCCTGACCCAGACCGAGTAGTTGTACCTCTTTTCTTTTTCCACTCAAGTGGCCTCCTCGCCACTTTGGCGGTTATAAGTTTCATTTATACTTTCTACCTACAAAGGGTCATAGGATTTAGAGTTTCTTTCTCTTGACCTTAGGGCTATCGAGGTTCCCTTGGACGAAGCAATTACAGATTGCTGAAAATGGGACTTTGGTCGAGCTGGGTTGACTAACTTCATGATCAGGTAGACTTAGGGTCCTAATAACTTGAGATAATAGATTTGTAATATCCTGAACCGACTATCTCTACTCAATTAGTATTACTCTACCCTTCCTTGGCTTGCCTCCTTTTGAGCTCTATCTCTACTTTAACGCTTCATCGTTGTCATCTCATAGACCCCAATTACAGAAAGAATGTGGCCTGTTTGGGATACATTGATTCACCCTCTACCCTTACAGCCAGGTTAGGCTTAAAAGCATAGTGTCAACCCTATGATGTGACCTGATTATTTCATAGGTCTTTATTGTCAATAAGCCGCCATCTGTATGAGATTGTGAGAGACTCACTCTTTGTCTGTATGGCTCAACGTGATCTTTAAAAGCATAGAGATGCTTTTGTGAGATAATCAACCTTTGTGACACTCTTAACCAATCAACAATTAAATGTAGACATGATTCCTATAATCGAGAGTATGCTCAAGCATCCCCCAAGATGTAATTAACCAAATGGGCTACATCCATTTGAGAGTGCTCTTGATCCCATATCAAACACACAAATTTGGTTCTCTGATTATAGTTAGCTTATATAGATAATCTTTCATGGATAGTCAGTTCAAGATATCTCAATTTGATCTTGTTTGGATGTACATTCTTAATCTATCACATGATGTTTACTACACAAGCTCCCAATGACTCTTTTTATTTTTTCTGCCAAATTTTTCTCTCCTTTCCGTCTTTTTTGATCTCTCCTCTTATCTGTATCATTCCGAACGATTCAATTAAGAGGGTTGTTTGGAAAAGAAAAGTTTAAAATGATGATTAGACATGTTGTTGACTCAAAAATTAAAAAAAATAAAAAACAAGTGACGGTCGTTCGGTCGAACCAACAAAAATGGTCAATCTAGCAAATCGGGTCGGTGGCGGTTGATCAGTCGAACTGGCGAAAATGATAGATTAAGCCTATGGGACGACCAATTGGTCAAAATGATGAGAATAGTTGATCGAGCTAGTAGCAGTCGATCGGTCAAACCAATGGAAATGGTCGATCGAGTCAATTGGATCAGTGGCAGCTGATTGGTTTAACCAATAGAAATAGTCGATTGTAACGATGCATAAACGACTGATCAACAACACATCCAAAACATGGTATTTTGATGCAAATTTTAAAATTCGAGCAATGCAAGCAACATGGATGCAATCACATGCAATCAAATGAGACTCGATTGAATTTAATTATGAATCATACCCATCCTAACAATTTCACGGGGTGCCTAGGGTATAGGAAGGTAAAAAAATCATTGGTTGATCGATCTTCTCCATTTGCCCGACATATCACTAAGACTTTTCATGGAAAGAAAATTTTTGGTAGCCTAGAGAATGATAAAATCACAAGGATTCATGTTCCCTAGACCTTTACTGATTTCATTCTTCCCATTAAAAGAACGAAACCACTGGCTCAAATGTGGGATTGTCAAAATCCCAAATTTGGGGTTTTGGGAGATAAGATTATGTAGGTTCCACTCATGAATTCATAGAGGGATCAATGAATAAGGATCCTAACCTATAAGGTTTTCTCTATCACAAAACCCAGCCCTAATCTTCTCTAACACCAGACCTAGGGGCTCACTAAAAGAAATGAATGAGAGATTCAAGAGTTCTCACCTATGTGATGGTTAATTAAGTGTTTAAACCC